CTTAAGTAAGGTAAGTACATGTACTGTTAAGTAAGTTTTCAAGAGTAAAACGATCTGATCACAGTGCCTCTACAAGTTGCAGGTGAGCGATTATGAGTCTGACTATCCATAAAATAAAAAATAGGATTCAATTAGTGGCTGTCCATACGGGTTCAGTTGTGCTAGTATGAACAAAGGTATTCGATAGAGTAGACAAGGTACCGACGCGACGGAAGTTGCCATAAGTGCGTTGCATGCTCGGAAGCTACCGCATTGTGCTTGTGCCTTCTGTCCAAGCAATAGGCTATTTGACAAGATTTAAAATGTTCTCTAAATTATGGTCATTCTATTAGATAATAGGACAAAAAAGCACAATTTACTTTATTTCACGCTAATTGGTGTCAATTTTTTAGCAAATTTACTTTTTCTTAATTTTATCTCAGATGGGAACGTCCTATGATTGGACACAAGTATGTGACGACACAGCAATAGTCACAAGTGTCAAAACTGAACCATAGATTCAAAGATATGAAGTGAACAAAACAAACAATCTTAAAGATACGAAGTGAACAAAACAAACAATCTCAATTTGTGGATTCCTTCGACCGATTTTAAGTGCGCATTTTTATGTTTTTTGAGTGTTTTAGTTAATTCTAAAAATATTTTCTAATAGATTCTGAAAGAAGTGGTTTAAATATCGCTAACTGCTAATTGTAACCAAAGTTTTCGTCTCTTGAGATCCGTTGGCACAGAAACAAACAGATTTTAGACGTATTTTTAAGGGGTGTTATAAGTTTGACGTGTGTGTGTGTGTGTGTGTGTGTGTGTGTGTGTGTGTGTGTGTGTGTGTGTGTGGATGTCTGTCTCTGGCATCGTAGCTCCCTAACGCATGAACCGATGTTTTTTTTAAGAATTAGTCAGGAGTGTTCTTAGCTATGTTTGATGAAAATCGGTCCAAGAGGGCCGCCACCACAAAATGCCGGATTACATATTTTTTCACTACTCCCTCAATATGGGTATCAAATGACTCTTTCATTTGATACCCATATTGAGGGAGTTGACTTGTAGAATAATATACACTATGACAATTTGTGTTGTGCCCCTCTTGCCCTTGAGTAGGTGACTGGCGTGTGACGTCAGGGCACGTTTTTGCCGCGGATTTAGAAATTCAAACTTTAAAAGCGATTTTTAAATATAAAAAGATCTAATTTCCGGGAAATATTAATATACTATGTACAATATCATGTATAGAATAATCTAAAACCTTTTTGTAAACTTAGTCAAATAGCCTATTGTGGTTACTCTGCCTCTAAGGCCGGTGCCGAGAGGCCACCGCGTACTTAAAAAAACCTAACAACAATGTACGTCCTAAGTACTAAACTAATTACGTTGCTTTGGTAATGTACGACTCATGAAGTTCTGTTATAATGCTTAGTGAATATGGTATACCTTTAAAGTTTACTTAACGATAACATTAACTTGTTAAAGTAATATATGTATAATGTAGTAAATAATTTTGTCTTAGTAGGTACCTTTTAAACGAGTAAGTTAGCGTAAGAATACAGAGCAGTGGATTTCGCCCTCCGCCCGAGGATGTGCGCGAGTGGCGCGAAGCCGCTCGCCGAGCCACGATGGCTCGTTGGTCGTTCCGGCTGGAGACTCCACGCGCTGGCTTCGCCGCCGTGGAGGCTCTCCAGCCGGTCATCGCCGAGTGGGCAGGGCGGCAGCACGGGACCCTTTCCTTCCGGCTGACGCAGGTGCTTTCCGGGCACGGTTGCTTCGGAAAGTACCTGCACTCGGTCGCTAGGAGAGTCCCGCCTGCCACCACTGCGACTGCAGTGAGGACTCGGCCCAGCACACGCTGGCGGTCTGCCCCGCATGGGCGGCGCAGCGCCGGGCCCTCACCGCAGTCATCGGAGTGGATCTCTCGCTGCCGGCCGTAGTACGCTCCATGGCCGGTAGCGACAGTTGTTTTACCGCGGTCGCAACCTTCTGCGAGGAAGTAATCTTGCGGAAGGAGGCGGCGGAGAGGGCCCGGGAGGACGACCTCCACTCGGACCCGATCCGCCGCCGGCGAACCGGGCGGCGGAGGCCCGCCTATCACCACCTCATGCCGCCCTGAGTGTGGCCGCGGGTGGACGGGGTGGGTTTCCCCTCCACCCGCATTAGTTTGGCCAGCCGCGAGGGGGCGGCGTCCGCGTGTGCCGGACGTCGCCTAAAGAGAGGAAAAATATTGAGACGGAGCCCGCACCAGGAGCGGGCTGGCGCTAGGAGGGGTCCGGATGTCTTAACAACAGCTGTTCCCGGATCCCTCCTGTTACAGGCGCAGAGTGGCACACCGTGTGGTTTTAGTCGGTCCGAGTCCGACACACCACCCCGCCGCAAACCCCGGAGGGGTGACGGTCCGAGGGGATTTCCACATGTTAAAAAAAAAAAAAAAAGGAATACAGAGCAGACTTAATCACTCCCACACAAATTTGGACTACTAAATTAGCCAAACTCTAAATTATGTTGTATTTGATTAAATTGACGTGATTAAATATTTAAACGAGGTAGGAGTACCTGCCTTGTTATTGTTGATAGTTGTCGCAGTTCAATATCCTCAGATACTAGAAACATATTTCATATATTTTGCCAAACAATACATTAGGGACAGCTCCAAATATAACACAATATGTTACTGTTATTGATTGCTCAGAAGGAGAAATAAAATTTAAACAGTGTGTAGGCTCTTTGTAAGTGATAGTGAACAGAGCAAATATATTATAAACGAAAGCGTCACGGGTCGCGCCCCGGAAGATGTACTGCACCCTTATCGAGTCAGACACACTTCACGTTATCGTAGATTTATGCTCTTGCACTGCCATATACACAAATCAATCATAAATATACCTTTTCTAAGTATAGCATTATATATATATATATATATATTATACTAGCTCACGTCATCTGATTGTTTATTGTGTTATGTTAAGTCCAACACACAAACACCACTATGAAATAATAATGTAGAATCAAAATAATTTTATAGAAGAAAGTCGAAAGTAGAAGTCATGAACATGAATACAGACTAGTAATAAGTGTAAGAATGCTTAATAACCATTAATTCAATTTAAATTTCAAAAACAATAAATATTAATGTTTGAATAATATATTTGTGAACTAAAGTATTTTTACTTATTAAATGAAAGCAATGTAACAAAGCCTACTAAACCTAAATTATTGTACGAGTTTAGCTTAATTTTTAGCTGTCCTGCTGCTAGCAGTTTTGTCTGTATTCACAATATTCTTAACATACTTACAAATAAAACAATATTCTCATCACGAAGAAAATAAATACAAAACCTAAATTTGTAAATACACATAATCAAGGTCTTTGATTTCATTTTCTGTTTGTGGTCATTTCCCATGTGTAGAGCAACAATAATGACCTACATAAGTTACCTATTGCACAAACCAACAACGTTATTGAAATTGTTAATAGACTGAATTGTCCCAACACTGGAAACAGTCAGTATGGGTCAATAGATGTAAGAAAAAAACTATTGAAATCTAACTGATAGTTCCGATTAATGCTACTGATTAGTGTTACTAACAACTTTTTTTTATACTAATATTATACTAGTATAAATATAAATTAGCAGTTCACTTTTATATTATACTACTACACCATAAAGTTATAAATACTAAAATAACTTCCACTTTGTTTTGGACGAAGTAATTTAAGTGTGTAACGGAAGCATCACCATTCTAGTTTGACTCATGTGGTTTTTGTTTCTCTGCCTACATTAGAGGCAGTACACAGGGGTTATATTTTGAAATTTTAAGACAATTTATTGGATGACGGGTTGTCCTCAAAGAAGGTGTTCTCAGCAGTGGCAATTTAAATAATTAATTGGATTTTAGAAAATTTTGTTCAGCCAATAAGTATTCAATGTTTAGTAAAATCTTATAGAAAATGTTATGGAATGCAAGGGGGGTAATAAGAGATGCATTAACCGAATTATGAAGTCTATACTGTGTGCTGAGCAATTCATATATTAAATATATATATATATATATATATAATAGTAAGTGGTATTTATTCATCTGTACATCATTATGAATAATTATAAACAATTAGTGACTTATACAAAATGAAGATAAGAGAAAATAGTAACAGTGAAGTAGGTAATTTTCCATATATTTATCTCAATATTATTTGACAATTTAAATTGAACCGAGCTAAAAACTACAATTCTGATCTCAACTCACTACAACTTTCTTTTTAATTACACACCAATTGATTTTAAATATTGGATTATCTAAATTATTTTCCAATTGTGCTGCAACTAAATAATTATCATTGTAAAACTAATTATTTGTAAAAGAAATACCTGTAACTGTTAAGTTAGGGATAATTTGCTAACTATTAATGTGTTGAATAGATTAACAATAGTAGACAATACATTATAAGTAAATGACTGAATAACATATCTTAGTTGTAGTTCTACACTTTATATGAATAGCACTACATTTACCAACACATTTCACATAGTTACACATAGTCTTGTACCTTCCAAGAATATAGGAATTCCTTGTTCCACATGTAGTATATTTATTAATAATGATACGAGTACACTATAATATCTAATCTATTGTGAGATCTAGGCACGACATTCATTGTTTTCACGCTAATTCGATTTCATTCATAAAACTGATCGCGAACTGTCAAAACAGTACAAAATGAAAACAAAGAACTTAAGTGATTTCTAAAAACATGATAAACTTTACTTTCATAGGCATATCTGCACACTCCCTTTAGGCAGCCACTCAATTTACTGATGTAATAATATTCATTCACTTCTGGGCCAGAAGCTTAGAAAATCCCTGGTTCGTATAGTACCACCTGTTCATCACAATGACAACAATATTTTGCCTTGCTGCGCGTCAGAGCCCAAAAGAAGACCGCATATTGTAAACCGATATAAGAACTTGACTTACTATTACACTTATATTACATAGAAATAATCAGTACTAACCGATCTTTATTTTCAATCTTTCTTCAACTCGCACTTTACGCGTATCGTCCGCCATGTTAAACCCATAACTGTTTATCTCTTTCATCCGCTGTTATCTCTTTCGGAACGAGCCAGTTCGGCCGGCTTGTCCCGCCACTTCCGGAGTGTCGTAATGGTCTACTTGAGCCTGTTTTCGAATTAACTGGGTAATTGAAATCCATACACAAAATTCACTCTAAGAATCCACATTTTCGACGATGTTTTGAGTATACATTTATTATAGACGTTAAACTGAATGAATTCGCAATTGCATTGCGCATGTGCTCAATACATACATGCACTCCTCACATAAATGAATGGATGCACTTAGTTCCTCTCAATAAATCTTTTCTTCTTGGATACTATTTTAAAATCACTCACTTATCTCACATTTGTTAACCTTGATTTTAAACAACACACCACATGATCACAAAAATGTTTTGAAAACTTCATTTCTCAATGAATAAAACCTATGAATGGGCAATTACGTCACGTCAAGACGTTCAACGTTGCGCCTGCGCGGCCACGGACCACGGATAAATTTGTTCCAACCACTTCCAACTTTAAACACCATCACTCACTTCTCTCCTCTATACTGTTTAGGGAGCAAGACAAAAGTATTTGCATCTTACTCTAAGACTATTTCTATCGCATGCCATATTTTTCCTTACCCAACCTGATATTTTAACGTTAGTAACACTAAATAAAATTTGTCATTTCATTTCATGCAGACTTCTGAATTCATAAATGTGACTCAAGTTCGAAACAAAAGTACATTTTTATTTATTCCAATTGATAACTTTGTTCATGAAATATAAACAGAAGTGCAATATAATAAATGTATATGAAACAAAAATGAATTCAATATGCATATCATTATACTGATAAAGGCTTTCGTTTCTATTTTATCATGCAGAATCCAGAGATCAACTCTTTACTGGGACACCTCTTAAATTTTGCCGAAATTGAGCAGACTCAAATCATACAGTCATCTGAACAATAAGGTCTATTGAAAGGAATACGATCCATTCATTCCCTTAATTAAAATTGATACCCTTGGAAGCAAGTCCTCAAGGACCTTAAATATCTCTGACCGACTTTAAAAAAGAGTAGGTTGTCAATTCGTCTGTATGGTTTTTTATGCTCGTTCCCTCAGAACTCAGTTATAGAACTGATTGCTAAATATTTTTTAAAGCGCATAGTATGCGTTTAGACTTACAAAAATTTAAAATAAATACATTTAAGATCGAAAATTGAGTCATGTATTCTATATTAAGTAAGTCCTAGTAGTTTAATCGCAATGAAAATGATCATACATTTTTTAAAGTGTATGCACCAGCAAAATAACTAACTCTGTCCAGAGGTAGTAAAAATCAGTTTATTAATTATACTGATCATAGTAGCAGTCAATGTTTAGGTTATATTATTAACTTCTGAAATCAAGCCTATCATTTATTAAAGCAATTATTCTAAAACAATTAAATAAAAATAAATTCTTAATAAAGTTATACATAATTTTATTTATGTTTAATAATTATAAAGTTATTATAATGGTCATACTCATCACACTAACCTACGATCGATCTTCTTTTGAGGTCTACTTAGTAATCTAGGTGTAAATAAATAAATACAATAATGTGTGTTTCTTTTACAGATTATAACGATATTATTATACTAGTTAGAGAGGTTTATTCATATTTGTTGCACTGTCCTGCCAATCATCCGATCATCATAAAAATTTAAAGCGCATACGAGGATTGTAGAAAAAGGGTATTTCCATACAGAAAAACAATTATGGAGCAACGGGTGTCATGTTCCTCAAACACAAAGAGGGATCCCCTGAACAGGCGAGGACGAGGAGCCAGAACCCCTCTATTAAATAAAGGTTATAAAGTAGTCTAGGTTAAATAGACTAGAATAAAGACAGTTAAGATCTGACTGTAACATTTATAGTTTCACATTAGTGAAAAGTTCTAATTTCTCATCAGAACCTTTCATATCACGATATAAGCTTAGCAGTTACTCTGTAGTTCGGTGTGGCTTCGTTAGATGGCACTGAAGTATGTTTTGTATTATTGGATCTTGAAGTTGCCACATCACTCCCCTCCCCAGTAAATCGAGTGGTTGTTATATAGTGGCTGATTGGGTGATTGCTGCGTAGACTCTAGAGATATGCTCTTCTTAGGTGGACAGTAGGTGCAGTGTGCTGTGCCTAAATGCTGGTGACTCCGTAAGGGTAACCAGGCTGCAGCAGTTGCTACAGGCAGATGGTATCCACGTTGAGGCCGAGTTTGCTGGCTGGCTGAGACTGCATTACCTGTCATCATTGTGGCCGTTGTGAGTACTCTCAGGATTGATGACGGTACTTCCACGAGAGAATTTCAAAACTAACTTAAATCTGGACTCTCATCCATTCAATTGTTATCAACAGCCTTTAATAGTCCACTGCTGCACATAAGCCTCTCCTTAGAAAGGAGAATACCATACTACAAATAAATAACATTGAAGTGTCCGTTTGTAATGTCAAAATGATAGCCTGTTTTTTATGCTGACACGGTTATTTTGCACGATACCTATGCCTAAAAAACGGTTTAAATATTTTTTGTTTGTCGGTCTCTGTCCGGTCTCGGCTAGACCGATTTTGATAATATTTTACCACCAGGTAGTTGTCTATGTAAGGAGTAACTTAGGCTATTTTTTCATTTAAGATTTTAGGTGATATGACATCTGTCAGCTCTGTTTTAACTATTATCTCTATGCCCTATGGTTTTGACAAGTATTTGTAATAAATATTATTTAAAGTATATTTTTTTTGGAGCGGTTGTTAATGATTAGACGATATTTTTTAAATGCTAAAAAAGGTTTAAAATGGCGAAGATAAAAATGTATCAGTTTATTGGTTAAGCAGTACTACTTATACTAAAATTACAATTAACATTAAAATTCAAAATGAATGATTCATATAATCACAAACAAGATCATATATTCTATGTTACTGAAAATATAATTGGTCCAGTGGAACATAGTGCTGATTATGAACAATTACTAAATAACTTCAACTCTCAACTAGATAGACACTGTAATTGTGAAGAAGGTTGTACTCTACCTGCGTGTATGTGCCTTCAGAAGTCTGGCGGTGAAAATTATCAAGTTCATTATCAAAATGGTCAGCTGAAATATAAAATAAACACTAGAACAAAATCTCTTCCAATATTTGAATGCAATGAAAGTTGTTCATGTTCTAAAGATTGTGCTAATCGTATTGTTTCATGGGGGCCTATTGAGGGACTAGAAATCAAATCTTCCGAAAAAGGATTAGGTCTTTATACAACATGTTTAATTCCCAAAGGAACATTTATTTGTGAATATGCAGGAGAATTGATAACAAAAACTCAAGCATCAGTCAGACACCAGATGAATCAATTGCATTCTAAAATGAATTATATATTTTGTTTAAAGGAACATTTTGGTGATAATGTAGTGAAAACCTTTGTAGATCCAAGTGTTTTTGGCAATATAGGTAGATATATGAACCATAGTTGTGAACCAAACTGTAATATATTGCCTGTTAGATGTGGAAGCCCTATACCAAAGTTAGCAATATTTTCAGCAGTTGATATATGTTCTGGTGATGAATTGTGTTTCCATTATGGTTTTAGTGACTCAAATGATCATGCAGATAGTAGAATTAAATGTTTGTGTAAAGCTGAAAATTGTACTGGTTTCATGCCTTTTCATAATTATTGAATAAAAAATGGAAATGTGTTCATCATTAAGGAAATGCACACATATAACACATAATAATTGATGTAATCAGTTTTACCATGGGATAGGAATGCTTTGCCACAGTTGGGTCAACTCGATCAGAGTAATGCCACTGCCTTACAGAAAAGCAGTGTTCAGTGATTCCTGTTTGATTTTCATAGTGAGTACTCTATCTATTCTATTCTGAGTGATGTTACTAGACCTCAACTCCAAGGACTCCCCTTCCCCCACTGCTTCTTTGAGGCCCTGCGCAGATAGATCTTTGCTAGACCCCAGTCAGGTAGATAATTGCGAACCAGCAACATATGCCTCAGGACTGACCCCCTGCCCCCCTGCCCTCTACGCACAAGTAAGGAACTGGCGCGTCCTGGAAGAGGTTAAGATTTTTATACCCTATTTGAGCTCTAAGCTCTAAAAAAGGGAAAGGCTCTCCTGGCCCTAGACCCCAGTAGGGTTCTAGTAGTAGTAGTAGTGCTCAGTTGGCGGCGTCATCGTGGAGGCTTTATGTACCGGAGTACCGAGAGGTGCAGAAAACTTCAAAAACATGGACGAAGCACACATCCTCGTCGATGACCTCCTACACCAGAAACGACGGGGAGAATCCGGTAGGAAGACGGTGTTCTACCCGTCACGAATGCGGAGATAGGAGATGTTCGACGGATCCGTTCCAAGAACACCGCCCCCGGGCCAGATGGGATCCCTGCCCGAGTGCTGGCAATGGCTCTTAACCAGGGTTGTTGCTGATTCAGGTTTTTACTATATGAGCGGATGATGATGCCGATAATAATAAGCTAATTATGGAGATACTACTAATAATGTGGTGTCAGTGAGAAGTTATTAATTTCACTATCATTTTGATAAGATAAGAAGATACTACAATAAGTCTTTGTATCCAATATTTAAAGGCCCGCTCCGGTCATGCCGGCCGCTGCCAATCGGGAAGGACATATGGCTCTACGCGGCGACGGCCGCTTTGCCCCTGCATATACAATCGCTTATATCTACTAAGATATTCACTTTAATGATATGCTGTGAAATGCAATATGGATCTACATTAAATTCACAACCAATCTTAAGTTAGATTTATAGTTAGTTTATAGTTAGTTTATTTGCATAAGGAATAATACTGTATTGTTTAAAATAGCTTCGTAATTACCCATTATTTTTTTGTAAAATGTAAAAGATAAAAATGGTTACTGTGGGTTACCCTTAGGACATAGACATTTACCATCGCCAACTTTTTTGTTGATCTTTTAAGATATGTAATGCCGT